CATCGCTAGTAGGTTGGAGGCCACTACTACTAGTAGCAAGAAGCTACTAGTAACAAAGGCTTCTAGGTTGGAGGTCGTCGCTAGTAGGTTGGAGGCCATTTCTACTAGTAGCAAGAAGCTACTAGTAACAAAGGCGTCTAGGTTGGAGGCCATCGCTAGTAGGTTGGAGGCTAGATATCGATATGATATGACATATATCTATGTGTGTGTGTGTCTATGAAGCCCCAATCCGGCTATTTTTTCGTCCAGGATCGTTTCGACTTCTTCTGTGCTCGCTTGGCAGACGCTTCTGCGGATCGCTTACGCAAGTCACCCTCACGCAGCTCCAGAGGCGAGATCTGAACATTGAGGGGATAGTGTGAATCGGCATCGTTCTCTGAAAGTCTCAACTCCTTACTCGTCCAGCGCTCCGCCACCGCGCTCTTCACTGCGCCTCGCAGTTCGGGTAGCTTTGAGAAATTCAGCAGCACGCAACAGATCTCCGCGCTGCTATCACCATGTAGAACCTCAAAACTCGCTCCCTTGAACTCCTTGATAACGCAGTCCACTGCATCACCAGTAGCCTGGGGTTCTAAGTTGAAGTCACCTGCAACGGCACGATGCTTGTCTCGGAGCGCCAACCAAAATAATGTCTTTAATGCAAGCTTGCACGACTCGACGGAACGCTTCTCGTCGTTGTGTACATGCACTTGGTAACCCGGAAAGAATTGAGGCCTGCTCGAGATATAACCCCACCGTTCGCTTCATTGACCCTTTGCACCTCCGCAGACAGGCAAACTAACCCTACATGCACATCCAACGACGCAGTTTTCCTTGGATGAACGAAATGCGACGCAGTTTAACGGCATCGTGTTTTATTCGTCGCTCAAAAACTTCGTTAAGACAGTTTCGTTAAAACATGTTAAACATTTTATAGATATATGTCTTAATTAAGTTCTGGCAGCACATTTTTCAACAAAAAGCAAATTCAATAGCGCCTTTTTACCTGCACCATGCGTTGTAAACATCCACGCGTGCCAATCTCTTCTTGGCAATCGCAAGCTTCGCGCGTGCAATTTTAACCGCATATCGCTCAGCATGCTGCCCTCCAGAGTTGACGATCCCTGGAAACACACGTGCATTGCAGGGTTTTTATACATACAAAACTTGTTTCTTTAAAGTTTTTGTCAAACAAAACTTCGAGCAAGGGGGGGAGTCACGCTAGAGTCACGGTAGAGTCACGCTACAGTAACGCTAGAGTCACGGTAAAGGGGTGAACGTGTATACTGGTACCTGCTCACTAATTTAGGTCCGAATTCGCAAGGCTCCTCCAAAGGCATGAGGAGTTTGTAGGTACCATCCAGCTCTTTTGCCTTTTGCCTTCAAATAGGGATAGACCTCTTTATATATACAACACCAACGAGTTAAATATTGAAAAAAACTTAGGAAAATAAAATAAAAACTTTCGTGATCTTTCGAGTAACAAAAGTTTTTGATAGTCACATTTTCTTGCAACTTTCGTGGAAAATGCGACGCAGTAAAACAGTCATTGATCCGTAGGGTAATGAATGGATGCGATCACCTTGTTTGGCCGATTCCTTGTAGGGTCGCTCCATCAATCCATCCCAGGTCGGATATACACGGCTGAGATACTTTGTCCCTGTCTGTCCGGCTAGGACAGCCATGCATGAGCCAACCCGGCATACTCAGAGTAGAGGTGTGCAAAACTCTGTGCCACTTGCAAGTGATTGGCATACACTCGGTGGCGAGTCAAAGCAGCTCAGATACCCAGACTTGGGCGGTCCTACCGTCGCCCGCTGTTCAAACGTTTTCATGCGGGCAAATCAGGGCCATGGAGACCGCTTTAGCGGTCATGAGAATGAGACTTTGGCTCCAATCGATTGGACAGAGTTCGGTGATGATAGTTTTGGTGTACATGCCACGTTCTATCGGGCATGGACTAACATCGAGGAACAACCCGTTCTAGCTTGGCAAGGAAGCCCACATTTGGCAAGAAGGAATGCGGACATCTTGATCTTTTTCAACATGGCAGACCAGGCAATCAAATCATTGATACTAATTAGTAGCAAGAAGCTACTAGTAACAAGGGCATATAGGTTGGAGAACATCGCTAGTAGGTTGGAGGCCATTACTACTAGTAGCAAGAAGCTAC